CATATTACTTATAGAAATTTGGAACCGACGGTCCGTGAAATGTATGAATTATATGCTTCACGATTGGGTACACATATTAATCGTGTACCTGCACACACTCCTCATACATATATAACAGATGACGACGCTGAAATTTTAAATTTATTCGAAAACATAAACTCATATAAATATGATTCAACTGCATATGCATGTGGCTCGTTTTGGGCGAGCTCGGGCACGAGCCGAGCTCGCCCAAAAACCAACGAGAGCTCGCCCAAAAACCAACGAGCCGAGCTTAAGCTCGGCTCGTGTCGTGCGGGCATGGGCGGCTCGGCCCTTTGCCACCACTACATCTTGTACAATATTATTTTCTTGCATTACAATGTTTTTATTTCTATCGAAGGAGAAATATTTTGACTTTCTAGCTGTTGTCAATTCAAATAACACTATTCCCAAGGCTATTAACTTTACTTATATCATCTTTTAACTTCTCGTTGTCTAGAGTTGAGTTGATAAATAAGTATTTATTTTTAAGATGGTGAGATAGCCTAAAACTCGAGAGCACTACTAACATATGAGTTTACCATTTTTATTATGAACCACCTGAACATAATGGGAACCCCATCAGTGAATGCAAGTGTTGTTTAGAATAATAATTGAGTTAATGTGCCGGTTTCGAGTACAAGTATTCTTTTGTTGAAAGGTGACTCGACCTTTTCTTAGGAATATGTTGTGAGTTAGTAAGTGCTACAGGGAGAATTGCTTGAATTTGACTGATTTCATACCTTTTGTTCAACAACAAAATTGCTGGATCTTCGTGTTGATACATAAATTTGTTCAAAATAGTTACCTTGGTGATACATATGCAATTCTAGGATTTATACGTGAAAATATGACATATTGTTACAATACACACACACACACACACACACACACACACACACACACACACGAGCTGTTAGGTCTTAATGTTTAAACTTATAAGTACCACATACAGAAGTGAACAAAAGAGATAGTCACGTTCGTATTGCGAAACATGGAAACCTTTCAAAACTTCAACTTATTTTTCTTTATTAACGACATCGCAAAATTGGGACAAAAAATCGTACTTATATATGGAAAGACATTATTTATACAATATTTAATAAAGTATACAATACATAGATAAATCCCACTAATATAATAGATGACGATGCTGAAATTTTAAATTTATTCGAAAACATGAACTCATATAAATATGATTCAACTGCATATGCATGTGGCTCGTTTTGAGCGAGCTCGGGCACGAGCAGAGCTCGTGTGGGCATGGGCAGCTCGGCCCTTTGCCACCACTACATCTTGTACAATATTATTTTTTTGCATTACAATGATTTTATTGCTATCGAAGGAGAAATATTTTGACTTTCTAGCTCTTGTCAATTCAAATAACACTATTCCCAAGGCTATTAACTTTACTTATATCATCTTTTAACTTCTCGTTGTCTAGAGTTGAGTTGATAAATAAGTATTTATTTTTAAGATGGTGAGATAACCTAAAACTCAAGAGCACTACTAACATATGAGTTTACCATTTTTATTATGAACCACCTGAACGTAATGAGAACCCTATCAGTGAATGCAAGTGTTGTTTAGAATAATAATTGAGTTAATGTGCCGGTTTCGAGTACAAGTATTCTTTTGTTGAAAGGTGACTCGACCTTTTCTTAGGAATATGTTGTGGGTTAGTCAAGTGCTACAGGGAGAATTGCTTGAATTTGACTGATTTCATACCTTTTGTTCAACAACAAAATTCCTGGATCTTCGTGTTGATACATAAATTTGTTCAAAATAGTTACCTTGGTGATACATATGCAATTCTAGGATTTATACGTGAAAATATGACATATTGTTACAATATATATATATACACACACACACACTAGTTGTTAGGTCTTAATGTTTAAACTTATAAGTACCACATACAGAAGTGAACAAAAGAGATAGTCACGTTCGTATTGCGAAACATGGAAACCTTTCAAAACTTCAACTTATTTTTCTTTCTTAACGACATCGCAAAATTGGTACAAAAAATCGTACTTATATATGGAAAGACATTATTTATACAATATTGAATAAAGTATACAATATATAGATAATATGATTTTTTTTCCTTTTTAATAATATAAAATATTATTAACTCCGCTTTACTAAACAATTTTATGAACAAATAATTGATAATAACCTCCATGCAATCGATAAATAATGAAATTGCATTCTTATAGATGTCAAATTTCTTTTACCTTAGTATATATTGCTAACACATCTCAATAAATATATACATGCAGACAGGGACGGACCCAGCACCCGGCGAGGGGGGGCTTCCGCCCGTGCTGGATTCGCTGGAGTCATCAATACGTCGGTGCTACCATGGCACTGTTGTAGAGAGAACAGAGAAGCCGGAAGAAGAAGAAGACACAGGAGGGCCATTATTTTGGGCTGAGATAGTTGGGCCCATTATTTTGGGCTGAGATAGTTGAGCCTTTTCTTAAAAACTAGATCCAATAAAATGAAATAGTATCCAAACCCTTCCCTTCTTCCTTCATTTCTCGCCTTCGCAGTTCTCCCAGCTCTGTTGCCGGAGCTACTGCCTGCCGGTTGCTGACTTGCTGTGCTGCCGACTGCCGCCGCCGCTTGGTACAGCCCACCGGTAAGCCTTCCTGTTCTTGGTTCTTTTTGTTTTCCTGCCTCTTCTTTTAGTTCATAAAGAAATAGATGTTTTATGTTGTAAATTGTAATAATGCAAAACCAGTTTCTGTAAGAATAAGTTCAAAGAGATTGAAGGGGTTATTTGAGGATTTTGAGATAGATATTGCAATTTCTTGTTAAATTTTTGTTGACAAAGATGAGGATTTAGGAATTAGGAGAATGAGGGAAGTTGTGTGAAGTATTGAGTTTGAATGAAGAGTGTGGAGGGTTTTTTTTAAAGAAGGAAATGTGGTGATGGAGAGAGTGAGGAAGACAGTGTACACGTTATTCATTCAAACACCCTCTCCTTTTTGAGCTCTTTTAGA